CTACGGTCACACATGGCTGCAGCCTGCCTCCTCCTTTCAGCCCAGACTGTGACAGACGTCACTTTGTGGTCTAATTAACACCACATTTTCAACATTTTTTTGCTTTTTGTAGATTTCACTGCTTAAAGGTGTCCCCATGGTGAGCCCAGCCCAGCTGCTTCTCAGCAACTGGAAAATGTGAAAGGCATCACTTGGCAAGGCCCTCGGCCAGCAGGGGGCACTGTCCCAATGCTGCAGGGGCCACGCACATCTAGGACTCCGGCCCAGAGCTCCACACAGGGGCTAGGAGGGGTGGCAAACTGCCCTACACCCCAGCTGGAAGGAAGGACCCCTCCCTGCTTCCCACTGCCTGAGGCGAGCAGCCTCCTCCCTACGCCTGTTGCAAGACACTCTGCCTCTCCCTTGGCCCAGGCCCGCAGAGCCGATGACCTCAGCTTGGAACCTCTGAGACCAGGAGCCAAAATAAACCTTCCTCCCATAAGCCTCATTCCTCGGGTGTTTTGCCACGGTGACAAAGGCTGACATTCTGGAGCACCGGTCATGTTGCATTAGGACCGGCCCGTGACTCCCTAATCACCTCTGTCCTGCTCGAGTCACCCTTTGGTGGTGCTGGGGTGGGCCTGGGCACCGACAGGCTGGGCAGTGCCTGCACCCAGACACTTATCACCTCTTCGAAGGCCCCTGCAACCAGAGGATACCACCAGGAATGAGAAGTGGACAGTCCCTGCCACACGCAGGCCGCTGGGGAACTGTGCCAACCCTAACATGCCAGCACTGTGAGGTCACTATGCATGCAATTCCCTTCAGGGAACATTTTGGAAGGACAACATCTGAAAGGAGGGGCAGATCAGGAGCCAGGTAGGGTGAGGCTCGGGAGGACCCTGTCACGAGGGGAGATCCATGACCCACAGTGACACCAACGCATGGAACTGTCACCACTCCGTGCAGGGGCCGCAGGCGGGACCCTCCCCAGCTGTCCTGAAATGGCCGCGTTGTTCAGTATGGCTGCCTGCTGTGCACCGCCAACAGAGCTCACCCCTGCTGAGAGGGATGGCAGTGCTCATCATCTCTGGCTGGCCTTACTGTTATACTTATTTTTATTAACATTGCTAAGGAAGTCTGATTTTCATGGGCACACAATAATTGCAGATATTTATGGGCTGCAGAGGGATGTTTTGATACAACATGTGCTGACCAAGTTCAATCAGAACACTCAGCACGTCCTTCCCTCGACATGTCCAGCTTCCTCGTGTGGTACCTTCAGAGTAAACCCAGCCTCGTGTGATACTAACCAGCCCTGTAAATATAAACATATGACAGATTTTTAAAGAGAAGGAAGGAAATATACACACACATAGAGAATACACGAAAACCACACACTCCTCTTGCACAGCTGTTCCAAGGACACGGCACATTGGCACCCCGTCACCTCGCCATGCAGGGGGACACAGGACACGTGGCTTTGGCCAGCCTCTGCCCTCACACAATGCCACACCTGTCACCCACAGCGTCCCTGCCACCACTGCCTATCTGGGAGCTCTGCCACCCACAGAGCACATCGAGGAAGCACTCGACTGCCACGGCACGCCCAGGCCCAAACCCCAGCGAGCACCTTCCCACAGGAATTAGAGACAGGAGCCCCAGGGTGTCCACCCAAGCTGGGCCCCAGGGCTCCATCTCCCCAGCAGACCCCTCTCCACAAGAGTACGCCAGCCGGGCATCCAGCTGCCACTCAGACACAGAAAGGACAGGGCTGGAGTGCAGCTCAGTGCGTGCTGCTTCCCGGCATCTCGAGACCTGGGCTCCATCCACACCACAAACAGCAGCAGCGACCACACAGGCTCGGGGGCACAGGCTTGCTGCGCTGCAGGACGTTCTGGTTGACCACGGCGACCCCTGGCCGTGTCCCACAGAGTCACCCAAAGTCATGAAGGAGGCCCTGAGCACGTGTTTGAGTCTTTGTTTTTTGGTACCGGGGATCAAACTCGGGTCCTTGTGCTTGTGAGGTGGGGGGCAGGACCACTGAGCTACATCCCCACCCGTGAGCACGTGTTTGCCAAGGGAAGGTACCCTGAGGTCAGGGCAGCCCAGACTTGCGAGGGCAATGGCAGACGATGTGCTGCTGGCTCCATTGCCACCATGTGGTACCAGCCCTCTCTGGTTTTGCCATCCACTTTTCTAACTGAAGGCTTTTCAACAACACACAAGGTTCACACACACACACACACACACACACACACACACAGAGGCATAGAACCACCGTGGAGCGGGTCTGGCAGTCCATCTCCCAGCTGGTGGGACACATTGTGTCCCAGAGGAGCCGGGCTCTCAGTCTGTGCCAGCTGTAGCCTGTACCTCCCCCAGGTGCCCCCAGAAAGGCTCGGGCCTGGTCTTCAATGTCTGCACTTGCCGTTGCCTCCACAGATAAGAACAAAACAAAAAGAAATCCAAAGCAACTTCCTGCCCTAGCTCTACCTGTTCCCATGCCCCAGGAGGGAGGCCTGGCCTGACAGGGCTAGCACAGTGCTGGGCAGAGTGTGAGTGTCCCCACGCCGTGACGCCATCTGCAGGGCCACAGCCCCTTCCCACTCGGGGCGATGGCACGAAGGCCTGGTGACCAGGGACAGCGAGAGGACACACACTCCCCATGCGCCCGGCCCCTCCCACTCACGTAACAGGGGAGGCAAGTGCCTGCTTGTTGGTCCCATGAGCCCTGGAGCCGGCAGGCAGGACACTGAAGCTCCATAGCCAAAGTGCTCAGTCCCTCGGACAGGCCTGGGTCAGACACAGGGCTCACATCTCTTCACTGTCGTCCATTCCGTCCCTGGACAGGGCCCAAGGGGTCCCCAGAGCAGAGACAGGAACCTCGGCTCACCCACCTATAGAGGCTGCAAGTTCAGGGACTGCCATTGTAAAAAGTAATTTTTTATTTTTTATTTTTCTGGTACCAGGGATTGAACTCGGGACCTTGTGCTTGCGAGGCAGGCGGCAGAGCCACTGAGCTACATCCCCGGCCTGTAGAAAAGAATTTTGAGGTTGTGTCAGTAAGAGATGTAAACAGCTTATTAGGCAGAATCTGTACAATGCACACTCAGAACCAGCGCAAGCCCTTCAGAGCAAGCTGGGTGTGCTCGCGAAGGCTTGGTGTCCCCAGCGTGGCTCATCCAGGCTGTTTGTTCTGGTCTGCTTTGGCTTCTGCCCACTTAGGAGCTGTGTTAAAACACAAGCCATTCACGCATGCTTGAAGCCATACATAGGCCTGAGGTCCGTAAGGCCCTTAGGGATTTTGCTTGGAGGGAAAAAAGCCAAGAGTAATTTTCATGCTTGGAAGCTGCAGTTCTTCTTTAAAAGTAGCTTTAATATCCAATTTTCCTTAACTATGTTTTCTATCCTACGTCAGTCTCTGTCCTCCATTTCGATGCCTTCTGCATTACCCTTGCTGCCCAGTCCCCAGCCCTCCTCTCCCGTGGGCGTCCCTGCCTCCCCGTGAGCACCAGCCTCCTCAGCCCACAGGGGCAGCTGCGGCGGTCTGGTGACCCCTGTGCCCTGCACGTTGCTCTTCCTCCAGTTTAAAGCCCACACATTACTTCTTTAATACACCCAAATACTGACTTTCTGTTGTTTGCCATTTACGCCAGTATCTCGGAACTTGCGGGTTTGGTCTCTGCTGCTTTGCTCATAGTACGACAGTGTGTGGAATCCCTCTTCCTGTATACGATGATGCCTCGACCTCGGAAAGCCTTTCTGGCTGGGGAGAGGCCCCTCCTCAGCCGGCTGCACCCTGGCGTGCACAGGTCGCACACAGCCCTCCGCACCCAGCCTGCCCGCCAAGCCCTCAGAAATCCCAGGCTGGCTGCCTGGCCCGCCGGCCTTGGCCCTGTCCTGCCCCACCCAGCCTCCTGTCTGCCTTAAACTGTGACAGGTCATTTTTCAGAACTTTGCCCCTTTTACAAAGCAAACTAAAAGCAGTGGTGAGCCAAGAGGGAGGGGAAGTAAAAAGAATTAGATAGGGTACCCCCCGTGCCAACTCCCTACGAGCATGATCACCATGTACAGCAACCGAGTGCTAACAAACACAAGGAAGTGACACCTGGAGAAGAGCGGCCCGCGAGGGTGGCCCGCACCAGCTTTCCCACAGGTCGGCGCTCCTAACAATGGGCCTGGGGCGGTCAGAGGCACCAGGCCCAGGTCACACGCAGGACCCCAGCTCTAAAAGCCAGCCAAGTCCTCGCCATGGAACCGGCCTGGTCTGTGTATGAGAAAGCACTGTGCGAGAGCCCCACTCCGAAGTGCTGGGGAAGAACACGGCACGGCGCACCCTTCCGGGCACCCAAGCTTCTGGGGTCCCAGCACGTGGAGAGGCAAATGTCTGGGGCGCCACTGTCTGGGGCCCTGTGACGGCCGCTGCAGGAGCCGGGGTGTCCACTCAGGCAGAGACAGCTCTCTGGCCCCGTGCTGGCTCCGGCCCTCCCTCACAAGACAGCTGCAACCCGAGTGGAAACTGGCCTCGCACCCCAGGTCTGAACCAGATGTCTCACTGGCAGGTGGGGCTGGAGGCAGTGACAGCCCCGGGCAGGCCCTCTGCAGCCTCAGAGCAGAGGGAGAGCCCCATCACCAGTCCCGGCAAAGCCTCCTGCACGTTCCTCGACAGAGGGCGCCCACAGCTGTGGCGAGGCGGCCACTGTGGGCTCAACCCAGCACCTGCACCTAGGGCCAGGAGGCTGAGCACAGTCGGAGGTGCCCTGGTCCCACCCAAGGGGACCCCGTCTTTGCCCCCCACCCCAGCCCAGATGGCCAGCACCCCTCTCCCAGCCTCCTCTCCCGCCCTGGCTGGTGGGGTGCAGTGAGTCCCCACGCCCTCTGCCCAGCCCCGTGCAGGACAGCTGGGTGACACCCCTGCCCTCCGTGCACTCCACCTGGCTGTCCCTGCTGTGCAGGAAGAGCTCTCTCTGTCCGGCCTACCAGACCTGGCCGGAAATGACAGCCACCCTTCCAAGAGCTGCTTTTGGCACACTTTAATAGTCACTCCGGGCACCAGGGAGGGGCTGGGGGTCCCACAGGGGGGCGCCTCGCAAAGTGCACAGCGACACCCGCACCAACACTGGGAGTGTGGCAGAGGTGCCCACTGGGGAAAGAAGGCACAGCGCTGGGAGCCGCTGCGGATGACATGGGCTCACCGGGCCGGTGTCCAGGGCGGCGAGCGCAAGGGCACAGCAGGCACCAGGACGGGCACAGGTGTCCCTGCCACACACATGCCCAGCCGCAGGGCCCTGCTGCACAGACACCCCAGGCCACAGGGACCACACAAATCCCGCCCCAGATCTGTTTCCACCTGACCGTGACAATACACGCCCGCCACCTCCCCAGCCCACCAGCCCCACAGGCCCCAGGCCACCGCCCTCCAAGGTGAGACCAGTGAGGGCTGCCGAGCAGACACAGAGGAGGTGCTCGGGGCCCTCTGTCCGCAGCCACAGGCCTCCCAGGACAGGGTCCAATGGGCTGTGTGAGGCCGACACGCGGACACTTCCCCAGGCGGGTGCTACAGGGCCCCTGCTGGGCACAGTAGAGGGACCTGCGGCCTGCAGGAGCGGAGGCCGCCTGGGCTACTTGGTGGCTGTGGGCCACCAGTCCGGCACAGACACAGTGATGGCCACTGGGTCGCTCTCGGAGGTCTTGATGTGGAGAGGGCCCTTGATTTTCTCCGTGCGCAGCAGGGCTAGCCCCAAGTCCCCCTGCCCAGCCCTGAACTTGCCAGCAGCCTGTCCCGACTCAGTCAGCACTGGGGTGCCAGGCACAATGCCACCAGCCGGAAGGTGGCCAGTCAGGCGCACAGGGAAGAGGCGCTTGCGGATGACACCCATATGGTGGGTGCGTGCGGTCAGTTCCTGGCCAATGTAGCAGCCCTTCGTGAAGCTCACACCGTTCATGAAGACCAGGTTGGACTCCAAGGGCAGGGCCACCCCCGGGGGCAGGTCTCGGACCCCCTCGGGGACACCTGTGGGACAAAGGACACCGAGGTGAGGGCACTGGCACAGGTGCCCTGTCCTGTCCCCCGCCCATACTGCTGCCACACCTTGCTGGTACCGGTGTGCACGGTAGTCCTGGGGGTCCCCCAGCCTGGCACCAGGCACCAAGGCTGGGCCTGTGTCCTGCGTGAGGAGCCGCCAGCCCATGCGTGCTGTCCGGGGGTCACGGGTCAGGATAACAGTGGCCTCTGCCCTCTCCTGCAAGAGCAGTGTCTGGCCAGCACAGGGGGCCCCAGGCAGCACAGCCCACACACGGTGCTTGGGCCATGGCTCCACTTGGACCTTCCGCCGGACCCGGTACAGTGCCAGGTGCTGGTGCAGGGCGTCCAGCGAGGCGTGATCACACTCCAGAAGGAAGCCGGGAGCCTCGGGCACACACTCAGGAAGCCTGTGGAGAGAGATGGTGCTGCGGGTGTGAAGGACGCAGCCTCTGCAGGGTCCCCAGAGTATGGCAAGGACCGGAGCACAGAGGACAGACCCTGGCCATGCACTCCTGCACCAGAAAGCTGTGCAGCTGCCAGGTGGCTCTGTGTCTGCAGGTGTGCAGTACCACGTGCAGGGAGCCATGACCAGCTGTGGTAGCGTCGGGGACAGACAGGGCCACTGCTAGACTCAACAGTGCCCAGAGTCCTGGTAATGTGCAGGAACAGCAGTGTGCATGCCGGAACACAGGACTGGCGTCAGAGCACAGATCCGTGAAGGCAGACACTGTGGGGACCCCGCACAGTCGACAGTGACTGGGGGGTGCGATGTCGGTACCCACACAGACACCTCGTGGGAAGGCAAGGCTGCCCTGCAGAGCCCATAGAGCGGAGGTCAGTGCCCTCCAGGGACAGACACGCCCACCAGCTCCTTGCATTCTCAGGCAGAGAAGCCCCAGCCCATGAAAAGGAGCCCCTGAGCCCTCTACTAGGACGGACAGTATTCCCTGCACTAAGGAGGGGTGAGGAGCAGCTGCAGGTGTCCCTGCCTGCGGGGTTAGAAATGGTACACAGCAGGACCTGACTCCTGCAGCCCCAGAGTACTGAGGACCCAGAGTCCTGAGGGGGGTTCTGGGGGTGGCACTGTCAGGCCACACCCACCCACAGCGACAGGCCCAGCCAATGCGAGGCCCAAACCCCGTGAAGGCGCCCCTGTCCAGCTATGCCCGTGTGACAGAGAGGCTGTGCTGGGGGACAGGAAGGGTGGGATGAAAGGGGCTTCAGGGGAGAGGCGCCCCTCTCCAGCAGGTGACCGAGTCCTCCCCAGCAGCCCCCACAGTGCAGACAGACCTTTCGGAGCCAGAAGCAGAGGCCCCAGCTTTACCAGGTGAAACACCTCCCAAGAGGGTCATCACAGGACATCAGAGAGCAAGCACATGGTTTACAGGCTGGGATTAAACGCCAGAAACAGCTCAGAGTTTAGAGGGGCTGCCTCCGAAAAGCCCCCAGGAAGGGCATCCAAGTCAAGGGTGGTGGTGCACACCTATAATCCCAGCACCTCGTGGGGCTGAGGCAGGAGAATCAAGTTCAAGCTTTGTCTAAACAACTTGGCAAGACTGTCTCAAAATGAAAAACAAGGCAGGGGGCTGGTCTGACCCCCAGTGCCACCAGGAAGCAGGAGGGGCCCATGCCGCTGCCACATGGGAACTTGGATCTCACCTGCCTGCTAACCTCTCCACCTTCAGACAGCTGCAACAGAGCCGTGACCATCGTAGAGACCAGGTCGCTCAGCACTGCGGCTCCTGGGGCACTCAGGAGGCCTTGGGAAGGGAGGGGCAAGGGCCAGAGCAGCTGGCCAGGGCTCTGCTTCCTCACTGGTCCTGGGCTGTAGTGAGGGGCAGCGGAAAAGGGGACACTGGACTTTCACCTATAATTCTTTTGCAATTTATTGAGCCTCTACAATTATTCCAATAAAAAATTTAAAAGGAGCTGTGGGGCCCATGCTACAAAGGCAAGGCCTAGAAAGTCATTTTCTTTCTTTTTTTTTTCTTTCTGGTACCGGGGATCAAACTCGGGTCCTTGTGCTTGCGCAGCAGGCAGCGAAACCACTAAGCTAAATCCCCGGCCCAGGCGTTTTCTTATGTGGTACTAGAGGGTCACTTTTTTTTGTTTTGGTGAAAGAGTTCCTTTATAGTTTAGGCTGTCTGTCCTTGAACTCCCAGTGATCCACCTGCCTCAGCCTTCCGATTACAGGCGTGCGCCCCCCATGCCCAGCTGCAGTACTTGGGATCAAATCTGTGGCATTCTATCACTGATCTACATCCCTTGTCCCTCCCTTAATTTTTTTTTTTTAATGTTGAGACAGGGTCTCACTAAATTGCCCAGATGGGACTTGAACTTGTGACTCCCCTGCCTCAGCTCCCAAAGTGTGGGAATTACAGGTATATACCACACCTGGCAGGACACTTTTCATAACACTTTGACATTATTGGCTACTTTAGCAACATACCCACACATGTGTATTTTTAAAACTCTGTGGTAAACGCACCAAAGAGACACTGTAAAAGGGCCAGAGGGGCAGAGAACGGAGTGGGGAGGTGCAGACAGCTGGCAAGGCTAGGAGGGGCCTGGCAGGGAGGTGAACAGAGGGAGGAGACCATATCTGAAGGGCCAGGGTCTCCAGGGGAGGGAGATGCTGAGCTGGGCAGGCCAGGGCAGGCAGGACGAGAATCCAGGTGAGCGGAGGACAGGCTGGGCAGGGAGGCTGGGGAGGGGTGCCCAGAGACTGGGGCCGAGTTCCCAGGTGGGGCCTGTGCCCCCTCTACAGGAGGTCGGTCTGGTGATAGCAGGGCTCAGTCACCCCAAAGTGATACACTCTCCCTCTGGGCACCACATTCTCACAGGGGCCAGGTTCTGGGGTGCCCGTGAACATGCCCAGGTGATGCCTTGGGATGATGCCCTCTGCAGCTCTGGGGCCACCCACGGCAACAGTCTTGAGGTCCAGGTGAACCAGGTCCGTGTAGCTGTCTCAGCACATCCACAAACCTGGAACGGGGTCCGTCCACCTGGTGGGTGGCTCCTGGGCTCCAGCCCTAGGGACCAGGAGCGTCCCTACCTCCTACACAGCCACAAGGATGAGTATCCCCAGGGGACAGGACCTCGGGACTCTGAATCACAAAGTGCTACCTTAGTGTAGCCATCCTTTGGCATCCGTGGGGTGGGTTCCAACCCCACAGTTAACACAATGGGCACTGCTCAAGTCCTTCACACAAAATGGCACAGCATCTGCCCAGGGTTTATACACATTCTCCTGTACCTGGCTCAAATCATGGCCAGGTTACTTAGGATCTCTGATACAATGGAACGCCAGGCAAACTGTAGCGCAACTGTATTGCTCAAGAATAATGGGAAGCAACGTCTGCACCCATCCAATATAGGCACAACTTTTCCAGCCAAGGGTGGTTGAGTCCGAGGGTGTGGAAGGCCAGTATCCTCCCAATGCTGTGCACACACTTACACCAGAGTCACCCCGTACTCTTCAGTGCGCTGAAGCCCAGCCTGGAGGCAAAACCCAGCAGTGGCCTTGGGCAAGACTGGCTGACTGTTGCTGCCAATCAGGCATGCTCACCCGCCTCTGACAATCTGTGGGGACGGAAGGCACTGCAGCCAGAGGTGCGAGCCAACAGCCCAACGCCTGCTGGAGCACCTGCTCCTGGCCCCACAGAGCCTGCGCCCAGGGTGCTGACTGGCCCACGAAGGCTGAAGGGGCCCGGCCTGCACCTACCTGGGCAAGGAGGAGACCCCACCCAACGGGACCCTGAGCAGGGGCAAGGGCTGGGGGATTCAGAGGCTGGAGGACCAAGAACACCAGGCAGACAGGCCCAGGGCCCACACATCCTGCCGTGGACCTGGGTGGGTGGGTGGGGGCACAAGGAGGTGCTGAGGCTGCCCAAAGGCAGAGGAGGATTCTGAGATTCGGTCAACGCAACGGTGTGCAATCTTTCACTTGGGACAACAGGACCCGGGAAGTGGCTGGACTGGCCCAGGGATCTGCCACAGTTGCTCCATCCTCAGTGCCAGCAGATCCCGAAGCCACAGAGACCGGCGCTGAGCCCAGATGCACGGTGGGCACCAAGGCCCACCCTCTGGAGGGGTGGGGACTCGAGGCAGGCCAAGTGCACAGGCACCCCGCTTCAGCAAGGAAATACCGACAAGGACAAAAGCAGGGGACACCTTCTGCCTCCATTAGCTCCCCCTGCAAGGCCTCACTGCCTTGAGAGACGCCAGCGCAGGGGTCCAAAGAAGCCCGCTGATTAAAGCCAGATACGGAGCGCCTTTGCTGCGATGGCGCAAACCCAGAGCACACACACCAGACGCGGTCAGACACGCTCACGACGGTGCGGCCTCGGGGGAGACCGGCGGGCAGGCGGCCCCTTGAGACACCCACTGAGGAGGGGTGACAGGCAGGGCTGAGGGAGCCCCCCGTAGTGCCCACCGTGAGGCCGGGTGCAAGTCCGTGGCCGGCCCCGGGGCGACTTCCCCTGGGAGCCCCCTGCGCGGGAGGGCTGGCCATTCCGGGGTCCTCTGAGAGTTATGCCCCTCCCCGGGCCCCACCCCTCCCCGGGCCCCTTTCTGAACTCCCCCTCCGGCCCGCGCTAACCGGTATAAAATGACGTCGTAGAGTGTGCGCCCCTGCACGTTCAGAAAGTGGGCATAGGACGCGAGCGCGGGGGGCGGGGGCGCGCCGGTCGAGGGACCCGGAAGCGGCAGCTCATTGGTCAGCAGCCCCCGCAGGAAGGGCGCCACGTCCGGGCCGCGCACGCGCAGCAGCGCGCGCTCGTGTAGCGGGAAGCAGGTCCAGGCCGCGCCGTCCGCAGGGGCGCCCCCGAGACATCCAGAGCTGTGGGTCAGGCAGTTCCTCAGAGCCACATGAAGCTGCCAGCGCCAGGCCGGGCCGGCGCGTGCCGAAGCCGCGCCTCGGAACAGTGCTGTGGCCGCCATCTTGAACACCAGTGAGGCAACGGGGCCTGGGCGCCACAGCGGCCCCTGGCGGGGGCCGCAGACCTAAAAGTGGGCGGAGCGTGCGCGAGGGGCGGGGCCGCGCAGAGGCAGGGAGGGGTGGGGGGGTTTCCTTAGCGCTGCTTCCGGGTACCCTTCTCTGAAAAGCAGCCCTGAGCTCCAGGCGGTGGGTGGGGTTTAAAATGATGCTAAAGGAGGCCTGGAGATGGACGCAGGACGCCACGGGGTCCTGCAGCGGGGAAGAGGGATTGGCCCATCTCCAGACAGTGCCTGCAGTGGGAAACCCTGACCCAGGAGCAGGTGGGGTCCGTGGGTGGAAAATGAGCTCAGCAGATTCACAGTGGAGGCGCCAGATGGCCAAGCCCCAGCTGGGCTGGGCAGGAGGGATCGGATGGATGGTGAGGGGATCAGATGGGGCGTCCTGACTCCACACGGTTTTCACTAAAACTGGATTTTTTTTTGTCAGTATTAGGGATGAAACCGCCAGGCTTACGCATGCTAGGTACGTGCTCTCCTACTGAGCTGCCTCCCATCCCTTTTTATTTCTTGAGACAGAGCCTCACTAAGTACCCAGCAGGCCTTGAGCTTGTGTTCGTCCTGCCTCAGCCTTTCAGGTTGCTGATTTACAAGTCTGTACCATCACATGCGGCCTATCCAGAAAGTCTTTCTCACAGTGCTTTCATCTCCCTGGGCCAGGGCCCGGGCTAAGGCAGTGCCTGCCGTGCAGGGGAGCTCAGTTAACATTAGATTACTATCCGAGGCAGCTCTCTACAGAAAGGGCTGCATGTGTGGCTCCCTGGATGACCAGCTCCCAGGCCTGTCTCAAGTCCTTCGAGCGCTCTGGACCCCTCCCCAGCGGTCTGGCCTGTGTTTGGTCAGAGCCTGGACTGAGGGAGGCCAGGCCAGGAGCCCCCAAAGGTCGTTAACCCTCGGTGCCCCTCCTTCCCATCGGTCCCCAGCCAGTGCTGGAATGTGTGGTCCTGGCAGGCTGCCCCTTCCTCTCTTTGGACCTGAGGGCCATTGCTTGCCTTCCACAGGGCAGGTCTCATTTTTCCAGTCTCACGTCAGCCCAACCCTGGCCAGGGGAGAATCTGGCCCCTCACCCGTAGCCCTGCAGACCATCCGGCCTTGGCAGGAAGGCCAGGCGACCACCTGGTACTGGAGGAATGGGGGGGGCTGCTTAGATCCTGATAGGCCCAAGTGGAAGGAAATGGAACTCACCCTCACCCCACCCTGTCAGTGGCTCCCCTCCAGGAAGATGCCCTGGATCTCCAGCAGCCTGGCCAGCACCCTACCCAGTGGCCTGGTAGCCACCAGCACAAAGCTTGGGGCCTGGGTCACTGACCCCAGGAGGGAAGAGGAGACTGTGGCCTGGCCTCTGCAGGCTGCAAGGGACCTACAGCCCCTCTGGCCTCAGCAACTCCCGACAAGGCCCTGGGCCCAGCAGCCATCAGGAAGGATGGAGAGGATGGAAACGACTGGGTGGGGGTCCCAGACTCCACCTCCCAGAATGGCGATGATTTCCTGTTTTTCTCTCCCAGGGGCTTCCTCCCCTTTCTGGGGCATCTTTGAACATGGCCTCTCCACCCCAGCCCTCTGCAAACTCCATGAGCATCGGCCAGTTGGCTGAGGCCCTGGAAACGGATGGAGCTGAGACAAGGCATGTCCTGCCATGGGGGGTGGGGGGTCTGGCTGATAGGAGTCAGGCAGATTCAGATCCTGTGTGCTGGTCTCTCCCCGTCCCCTTCGCCATCAGTCCAAAGTCTGGCGTTTCCCAAAAAAGGAGCCATTCTGACTCTGCACAGCCCAGGGCCATGAGCGCCCAGATATCTGAGCAAACCTTGGTCTGTAGCTCATAGTGATGTACTGTGGACTCCATAAAGTGCTAAAAGGGAGTCACTCCAAGCTCCCAGTGCTAAGAATGCGTAAGGAGGAGATGGGATGCCTAGTTTACTGCCACTGTAGACACCTCCCCAGTCATCACACTGTACCATACGAACACCTATAATTGTATGTCACTTAAAAAAAAAATTGGGGGGCCAGGGATTTAGCTCAGTGGTTCCGCCACCTGCTTCGCAAGCGCAAGGTCCCAAGTTTAGTACCAGAGATCGAACTTGGGACCTTGCACTTGCGAGGCAGGCAGCGGAACCACTGATAAAAATAATTTTTAAAACATCATTCTGAGTGTTTCCCCATAGGATTGGGATTTGAATTGGTAGTCTGAGGAAAGCCCAAGGTGGGCCTCATCCAATCAGGCAAAGGCCTGAGAACACGAGGCCTGTGCAGGAGGAACCCTGCCTGGCCCAGGGATAGCTCCTCCAGCCTCAGCGCTTCAGACCCAGATGGCAGAGCTCCTCCCTGGCAGGTGCGGGCCACGGCCCACCTCGAGACAGCCACTCTGGGTCGGGATCTGCCCTCATTCTGAGGCTGCCCTTCCCTCACTGCCATCCCTGGCTTCCAGGGCCAGGGGTCAGATAGGCTTACAGTTGGCATTCCACGGGGTTCAGACAGGCGAGACTTGGGGCTCTGCTGGGCTCAGCCCAGAGGGATGGGGGAGAGGGGCTTGCAGCCCAGGAGTCACCTGGGGCCTTCACCAGGGTGGTCCCTGGCAGCATGTGCTAGTCTCCCCCCAGCCTGCCCCCAGGTCCCTCACCAGAGCCACCGCAGCCAGCCCTGCCGGTGTCCCTGTACCTCCATGGCCGAGCAGGGCGTCGCTGCCCCTGAGCTGTGAGCTGACCTTGCGCCCGGCTGGTCTTTATCTCCTGACATCTGCGCGCCCCACTACCCCCACCCAGGACGCTGCCTGGCACTAAGTGGCACCATCAAGAGTCTGGTGACCTTCGGGGATGTCGTCTCTGTGCCCTGAAGAGCGCTCCTCTCTCCAACAGACTGGAGGCCAGAGGTGGACACGTCACACATGCTTGTTCACATGCATGCAGGCACACACTGCCACGTGTGGGCAGGGTTAGTGTCCACAGCAAGGAGCTCACACATGTTCAGACGTGACACGTGCATACACCCTGTGTAAAAGAAGTCAGCTTTATTTGTCTGAAGCTAGCTCTGAATCGGGAAGGGCAAAAGTTATGGGCAGCTCCCAGAGCTCCCCGCCGCGTGGCCAAAGCCACATGCTGTGACCACCAGAGCACCTGTCCACAGAACAAGGCACACCGGCGCCCCAGCAGAAGGGGTAAGCAGAGAAGGTGCGGTCTTGCCCAGCCCTGGCTCCCTGAGTGCTCGCCCAGAGCTGGGTGCAGAGCAGGGCTGGGGTGAAAAGGCTTCCACCTGGTCAGACGGGCCTGTACTTCCCTTTCCTGGCAAGGAAGACCGGGGGCTCCCAGCTGTGCAGGAACAAGGGCTGGGGGCGGGGGCCTGCAGAGGGGCTCATTTACTGCTTCAGGGGACGGGGACACCATAGTCCCTTGCTCGAGTCCTGACTTGCACCAAGGTCCCACCTGGGGAGCTGCAGGGAGGCGCGGAATGGGAATCCCGGGGGGCCCATCCCGGCTCAGGACCTGGGGGGGGGGGGCTCGGCCCTGAGCCCCAGCTCGGCACCGCCCTGAGAATCACGGCAGGGACACAAGCATCCCGTACCACGCTCAGATCCACACGGTGGTTTTGCCGTCCCGGCTGCCCGCGCTGCCCTGCTCCGAGTCCGTCCTGGGCTTCCGGCCGCGCTCTCCCGCGGCGCCCCCCGAGCCCGACGCGTTGCTACCTGACCCTGACGCCGGGGCACCGGGCCGCGGGGCCCCCCGGGAGGCAGCGGCGAGCCCGGCGCAGGGCAGGCTGTCGCGGTCGCGCTGAGGGTCCTGGTCCCGAAGTGACTGCATCCCCAGCTGCGCCAGGCCCGGGTCGGCCGCGCGCACGACCAGGCTGTACTCGGGCGGGCCGGCTGGGCCAGGCGCGGCGAGCGCGAGCGTGCAAGGCGCGGGGCGGGGCGGGGCGGCGGGCGCAGACCCCGCGGGAGCGCGGGAAGCGCGCACGGCGTCCTGCGCGCTGCCCAGGCCCAGGTGCGCCATTTCGCAGAGGTTGAGCAGCAGGCAGAGGCAGCTGACCACGTACATAACCAGCAGGAAGACCGTCTTCTCGGTAGGCCGAGACACGAAGCAGTCCACCACGTGCGGGCAGGGCCGACGGCCGCACGCGAAGGACGGGCGCACGGCGAAGCCGTACAGCAGGTACTGGCCCAGCAGGAAGGCCACCTCGAGCGCCGCGCGCGCCGCCAGCTGCGCCACGTACGCGCGCATCAGGCCCTCGCGCTGGATGCGCCGCCGGCCATCGTGCTGCGCCCCAGGCCCCGCCGCCCCCGCCGCGTCCCCCACGCGAGCCTTGTCCTCCACGCCCGGCGCCTCAGGCTCCTCCTCCTCGTCGTCGTCGTCGCCCGCGCTCAGCGCCAGCATGGGCTCCGCCTCGCCCGACTCCGCCCACCCCGGCGGAGGCGCGCGGCGGGAACCTGGGCAGCGGCGCAGCGCCCGTCTGCGCTCCTGCTCAGAGGCGCGCGCCAGGCGGTGCACGGCGTATCCCAGGTAGAGCACTGATGGCGTGGAAATAACCACAATCTGGAAGACCCAGAAGCGAACGTGCGACAGCGGCGCGAAGGCGTCATAGCAGACGTTGTCGCAGCCCGGCTGCCGCGTGTTGCAGGTGAACTTGGCCTGCTCATCCGAATAGATGGACTCGCCGCCCACGGCCGTGAGCACAATGCGAAAGACCACCAGTACGGTGAGCCACACCTTGCCCACGAAGGTGGAGTGGTTGTGGATCTCCTCCAGCAGCCGCGTCAGGAAGCTCCAGCTCATGTTGGTCATGGGCGCGGGCGTGCAGGACCTGCAGGTGGACCGGGTCCGCATGACCTCCGGCTTGCACGGCCCTGGCACCTGCCGGCTGGCCACCCTGCCGAGCACAGCGGCCCCGGCCTGCCCTGGGCGTTCCTCGCGGTCTCCTCTCCCAGGGAGCATCTGCCCGGCCTCCTGTCCCGAGTGCCCAGGGGTGGGAGACAGCTAGGGCTCTGCCTTCTCCGGCAGGCAGGGGACCCTGGCCGCCTCGCTCAGCTGAAGGGTCACGGACTGACCCCACTCCAGCCCCATCTTCTCACGCTCCCTCCGCCAAGCCCCCACTACGGGGCCTCTGCCTCCTAAAGCACCCTGTCCTCCAGGAGCTCCTTGCGTCCCAGGCTGACCCTCAGCCCCAACCCTGCCGCCACCGCTGCCACTGCCAGAGCCTATCTTCCGGGCCTAGTCCCACTCTGGGAACCCTGGACCCTCCCAGCAGGAGCTGGACAGTCTCTCCTGGGCACGTCCCAGAAGACCCTGGCCGCAGCAGGCATGTGCCTAACAGGCAGCCTCCGCATCTCCTGGGTGCCCATCCTGGCTCCCTCACCCTAGGGCCAGTACCTGCTCCTGGGTGGCTTTGGGGCAGGAGCCCCGAGGCCACAACAGTGTCGTGTCTCCCCTTCCCTGGACGGGCCTGGGAAGCAGCAGCAGTGGGAGCAGATGTGGGATGAGCAGCCAGAGCCACAGGCCCGGGCTTTATGTATCTGGGGCCTCACCCCATCAGAGGAAGCCAGGGCAGCCCGGGTTCCTGGGGAAGTGGCCCCACTTCCTCACATCACAGCGACCCCTTTGAGGCCACACGCAGACATGAACTCTCCCGTGCATACGTCTGCACAGAGGTACACCCCCGTGTGTGCTTGCAGACACACCCGTACACACTTGCATCCACCAACAGACACGTGTGAATTCAGATGCATGCCAATGCACACCATGTGCACACTTGCTCTCTGGTGCACATATTTACGTAAGACACATCCTAACATGCACATGTGTGTGAGACTACAGTCTCACATGACTGCTTGCACACACAAACACCACTCACGGCTCATGCACACTCCCATGTGTGGACAGTCCACGCCTTCACACAGATGAGCACTCCCAGCCCTCAGGGGCCGCTCTACAGCCTTCTGTCTCCAGCAGGCTGGAGGCCCAGGACCCACTTCCTCCTCTAGTGGGGTTTTCAGATTCCCTGGGGCAAACACTCCTGTGTGCATGATTATCAGGAGCATGGAGCTGAGAGGTGTGCAGCCCAAGCTGGCTTCCCTCGGGGAGCCTGACCCTCAGGCTGGCATGTGCAGTCACGGCTTCTGGAGCTGGCCTGGCAGAGCCAGCCCAGGGCTCAGGGCCATGCCTGAAGGACTCCCAAATCCACACCCAGCCGCCCAGCGGCCTCCCCACAGTATGTGGGCACCTGGCAGAATGCCTCCCCCAAAGTGGCCTCCCTAACCTGGGCAGCTCAGCCTGCATGACTGCCCACACCACACTGAGGTCACGAGCAAACATGCGTGCAGCCACTTTGCCCTGCATGGTGGGCTCTTGTGCTATCACTGCCTTCGGGTCCCTGCTGCCAGGACCTCTGTGAGCTTGGAGCTACACAGACACCACCCAGCAGGCCGCCCCCTGCCCCAGCCCCATTCCCTGCCTTGCCTCTGCACACACTCCTGCACACATCATGTCTGTGCACATGCACACGTGCACACAAACATGCTGCTCCCCACCGGGTTGGGCAAATTCCCAATGCTGCCCTGTCCCTTTAGCTGGTGGCTGTTCCAGGGACAACAGGTCACAATGGAGACACTGGGATGAGCTCATGTCCAGCATAACAGAGGCAGACACTTTCCCAGACAGCATGTGCAGGTATGTGGAGACCTGTGGATCCCCTGGACAGGTCTAATGTCAGCTCTACCCCCAGGCCCACGCACGCACAGGAACACACTCCCGGGGCAGTAGGGGGGACATAGGGCTGACCAGGAGAGCTCCTATGGAAGGTTACAGGTTAAGGGCTGGATGTCAGGTCCTAGCCCGGGGATCAATGAATGGGAACCCCACTGTCACAGGAGATGGATGCCAGTGCAGGACGGCGAGCCTCTTCCACAGACCCAGGCTCAGAGGGGAGCCTGGGGGCACAGAGTGGGCAAGTCAGCAGCCTGGCAGTGCCACGTGGATACTGAGTCGGCTCTTCACCCTTTGGTCTCTTCCTGAAACTTCAATGCTGGCAGTCTCACCAGGGTAGTGCCCAGTAGGGGCTCTCCCACAAGGACCATGCGCCATGCCCAGGAGAACCCTAAGAATCGGCCAAGAGGACCCTCGGGGGTGGAGGTCCGGGTCAGGCCAAGTCAGGACTTGGAAACCTCAGCGTTCTGGAGACGCATTGGCACTGGAACCTGGGACTGGGCAGGTGGCTGCAGGGACCCTGGCCAGTGTGCCAGTCCATACCTGCTGGAAATGCAGGTGTACCCCCATAGAGGCAGGCCCAAGGCCCCCCACCCACAGGGACACTGGCTCAGGGACTGTGACACAGCTGGGGGCAGGACGGAAGCTGCACCAGCAGACTCTGAGTGGCTTTTGGGGATCGGCTAGGCTGTGTGTTGGGGTGACCAGCCTGCCTCGGGCTTCAGGGGTGGAGACAGGGCTCTTGTCCCTGAAAGGCTCTGCCAACCCTGGGCCTGAGCAAGGACCCCCAGCCACCACCCAGGGGTTCCCATCCCCATCTACCTGCCTGGGGCCAGCAGGGGACCAGAGGGATCAGCTCACCACATGGCCCCAGACCCTGAGTGGGGTCTGGCCCTGGCCCTGATGTGTGGCCCTCATCCCAGGCGGTCAGCACATCAGTACACTCACAGCTGTTGCCTGGGACTCATGCGTGGCCTCTGCCACTGACCACCCACCTCTGCCAAACACCTCCTGACTGCCCAGCACCTGACCAAGCCTGGGGACCTGAGGCCGTGCCCATGCCACTACCCCGGACACCCGGCTGGCTCACTACACCACACGCACCACAGATGCCCATTCCGGCCTCCCTCCTGCCCATCCTCCATGTCCCCCTGGTGAGATCCTGGGAACCCCAGGCTCAGGGTAAAAGCCAGTCCCACCTCTTCTTGGCCCTCACCTGCCTCCCCATCACGCCTGGCCAGCTCGCGAGACACGGCCCCACAACCCTGGACAGCAGGACAGTGCTGGCACCCAAGCATGGGGAAGCAGTCAAGGAACCCCTCAGCACCAGCTGCCCCCAGCACTCCTGCACACAGGCTTGGGTGGGGCACAGGACCCTCACCCTGGATGCCCTCCCTCCCGGGGCTCCTGGGGGCCAGGGCTGGAGAAGGGGGAACCTGAGGCAGGAAGAAACCAGCCCGCCAAGCCCTTCTCTGGCCACTAGAGAGGGGCCTCGCTGGCTCTGGTGGTATCCCTGCTCCCCTTCTGCTCCCTGTGGCCCCCCAAGCCTTGGCCAGCCCCCTCTCGCTGAGCCTTGGGAGCACACTCTGCCCGCCCGCTCAGCACGGGCCCGCAGCTGTGCCACCCTGGGCAAGGCCGGGCAGGCCGCACCTAAGCACTCCGGCCCCAGCTGCAGGGGACACAGTGGGCGTCCCTGCGGGCCAGCCAGGCCGCCTCACTCACCAAGGGCCCAGTCCCATCCCTACCCGTGATGCCCCTGGGCCCTTCCAAGGCCCGGTGGGGACACACTGAGCACTGTCCATGTCCTTCCCTGGGCGAGGCTTGGGGCCCCACAAAGCCCCTACCTTATCCAAGCCAGAAAATGCAGTCTCAGGAGCGCTGGCACCTACAGGATAGACTCTGCCCACTCTGCCCGCCCTCCCGGGTCTATGGCCAGGCCAGGGCGGGCAGGGCCACTGCTCACCACCAAGCACAATGGGGCTGGAGGGTGGAGGATGGGCCTTCAAGGGCTCCATTGTTTCCCCCTTGGCCTGGGGTCTGAATCCCTGATTGTCCGTGTGGGTGGGGCAGCAGGGAGTGCAGGCCAGCCCAGGTTCCCCTCGCCTGCCAGCTTGGCCCTTGGGATGGCCAGGGATGCCCCAGTCTCCTGGCTATTTCCACCTGGACCCCCACCCTCCCCCTCCTCCGTTCCCATACCTTCCCCCACAGCGTGGGGGTCCTGGACATGCACCTGACATCCCCTGGAAGAGAGGTGGGAGCAGAGGTAACCGCATGCACTGCTTATTGGGGTCTGCGTGCCTCTCAGGCCAGGGTGAAGGGACAGCTCCCTAGGGAAGGCCCAGGTCCCCTGAACCCAAGGGTTATGAACCTGAGACCAGGTCACATGTCCCTGTACCAGCCCCAGCGAGGGCATAAGGCTCCTGGGGGATGGGGGCAGGGCTCAGGCCCCAGTGGTCTTGTCCGAAGACCAGAGCCTGTGGCCCTGGCAGGGCCGAGAGCAAATCCTCGCCTCCATCTGCACGCTCTACCCTCAGAGGGAGAGGGTTCTGCCAGCTCAGGAGCAATGTGGTCCCCTCAGCTGCCTGGCGCCCATGGGGTGAGCTCTCTAAGGAGCCGCCACGGACAGCAACAAGGACGGGGCCGGGCGGTGGGGGCATGGAGCACAGATGCCCAGGGCTCCAGCAGAGCACTGCAGCCCCGCCCAGCTGAGGACCCAACACCCTAGCCTCAGGAATGCAGCAGTGCCAACCAGAATCACTTTATTCAGAAGTCAGCCCACTCCGGTGCGAGAGGTGGGCAGGGCCCCTCGGGCTCCTCAGCACGTGCTGAGTGAGGAAGGCGCCTGCACCCACTGAGGGGCAGACCCTCGTGTGGCCATCACATGCTCCTGTGCTGGCTGCTGCAGGACCCACAAGGTGCCTAGCCAGTGCCCACCTGGAGCCGTCAGGCTGGGAACACGGATGCTGGTCCTTAGGCCCAGCCTGGCCCCTGTGCTTTCTTGATTTCCTGCCAAGGAGGAAATGAGTGGGTCAGTGATGCAGGCCTAAGGAGGGCTGGGTGCCCACTTTCTCCCAAGCCGGGCACACAGCAGCTGCCCCCCAGAGCAGAGGAAGGCCAGGGCGCCCACCTCGGACAGCGCCCCCTTCAGCTGTGCGTAGGCCTCATCCAGGTTGTCGTTGATGATCACCAGGTCAAACAGGCCGGGCTCCTTGCCTGTGGGGATGGTCCGGGTACAAGGAGGCGGCCCCTGGCTGTGCCCACCCCATCCATCCAGGGCCTCGAGCCATGCGCCATCTGCGTAGAAGCCGGGCCGAGCCTCGGCTGCCTCGCCCAGTAGGAGCTGCAAACATCCTCCCCTGCCTGGCTGGGACCCAGAGGGCATGGGCACTCACTGCTGTCCATGTCTGCCCGGGCAGCGGCCAGCCGCTTCGCCAGGCTCTCCTCCGTCTCGGTGTTGCGCTGCCGCAGCCGCTGCTCCTAAAAAGCACACTGGGTCAGTGTCTCTGGGCATCTGTCTGCCCACAGGCCCACACCCCGGCACCCACCAGCACGGCCAGCGAGGGTGGCTGCACGGAGATGTAGATGGGACGCAGGTCGGTCTTCTTGATGTTGCACACGCCCTGCAGGTCCACATCCAGCACACAGATTCGGTTCATGGCTTGCACCGCCCGCACGGCTGCCTTGCTGGGGAAGGGGTGGCCGGGGACGTGGGTGGCGGCCAGCACTGCCAGGGTGGACCCTCTGGGCACCACGCTGTGTACAGCCCTGAGCCACCAACACTACCACCAGCTGCTCATCCTGCCAGGGCAGCTGGGGGCGCAGCTGGGATGTGTCCAGGCCTGCTTGCTCCCCAGAGCTGCCACCCACCCACATCTGGAGTGGAGCCAGCACAGAGGCTGGTGCAGCCAGCAGGCCTGGCCTAATGTCAGGGGCCAGCAGGCTGGGCGGCAGAAGGGACAGGCGAGATGGGGCAGGGTGTCCCCCAGGAAGCCAAGCACAGCCCACCTCGTCCCGTACAGGTTCCCTGAGAACTCAGCGTGCTCGATGAAGTCTCCAGCCGCAATGTCACGCTGCATCACCTCCCTGGTCACAAAGTAGTAATCTGGGGAGGAAGAGGCTATCCAGATGGCATCTTGGCCCAGCCAGCAACTGTCCTCTCCCTTGCAATCTACTGCCCTTTCTCCATCCACAACTGCTCACATGGGGACTGATGAGGTCCATGGAGGGAGGGGACTGCAGACCGCCCTGGTCCATGGGAAGAGGAGAGGTGGGATCACTGGGTTCCATAAGGTGGGCCTCCTGGGCCTGCACCAGGCAGGCAGGGGCAGCGCTGTCCACAGGGAGGCACCACTGGGCACACAGCTACATGCACAGCCACATGCTCACCGTGCCCAGCAGGGACCCCTGGCCCGCGGTCCTGCGGCCCCAGTTCCTCCCACACAAACCCAGTCAGCTGCACCGCCACAATGTGCAGGACCCAACTTCGCCTACCACCAAGGGCCCTGGCCTCTCTGGACAAGGGGACACCACCACTGGGAAGCTCACCTCTGCCGTTCTCCTCGCCAGGCCGCGGGTCCCTCGTGGTGTCTAGAAGAGACGTGTCACCGCTGAGGGGCCATCGGGCCCGCAGCCCACTCCAGCCCCTGGCAGGCTGCCCCAGCCCATGAGGTACGCACTGTCTGGAGCTCTGGGCCCAGCCCCCCCAGCCCACAGCACTCACGAGACACGCTGAAGCCGAAGATGCTGCCATGCTCCTGCAGAAGCCGCTTCAGCAGGGTGCTCTTGCCGGCTCCAGAAGGGCCACTCAGCACCACAGGGCTGGGTCCCACCATCCCTGGAGGGGAGACGAGACGTGAGTAGGGTGAGGCAGCCTCCCCAGGGCCTCAGAGTGTGCAGTGCCCACAGCATAGCGTGGACCCCGCGGAGACTCAAGAGCTCCCCCCAGAGCCCTGCCTGGAACCACAGAAGTGTCCACCCCTCCCCAGGACCCACCCCACACCAGGAGCCCAGATGCTGGCTCCTGCAGGTGCTGCTGCTTGGCGGGGGGGCACCCCATCCAGCCGACATGGCTGCTCCAGGTCTGTTCAACCCCAGCCCATTCCAGAACCTCCTGCTGGACTGGGACCCCCATCTCAGGTGATACTTGTGCCCTGGGCAGGACAGCTGGCCGGCAGGATGCTGGGCAGCCTTTCAAGCCCCTTAAGTGCAGTGAAGATGGAGTAGGTAGTGGGGCAGCAGCCAACCCCGGGCCAGTTCAGCCCTTCCAGGACCCAACCTTCCTCCACTGTGGAGGACCCAGGTCCAGCCCTGACACCACCTACCTTCTCCCAGCCCCTAGCCCCTGTACCCATCTTCCTCCAGTGTGGTCCCAAAGGGACTCTACCCGTCTCGGGGACAGAACAGCATCCACCTAGTGCAGTGAGGCCCCCAGTCAGCCCTGAGCTGGTCACAGTGGCAGCTGTGCACGGAGAGCTGGGGGTAATCCCTGCCGGGCTTGTACCCACCCTTCTGAGCCAAATCCTCTGGGGATGAGAAGCCACCCTTGCCCGTCCATTGTGCAGGAAGGAGGCGGAGGTTGCTCCATCCAGCCTTGAAATTCGAATCTGTCCCCACATGAGCCCAGGGTGGGGAGACACTGGGGGTGCCGGAGTGCGGGAGGGGCCTCCTGGACCCAGTGGGGCAGGGCTGACAGCCTCCCGTGGGGCTGTCTCACAGGAAGGGTGCCCACACAGGGAGGCTGCTCCTTAATCCCCAGTGTAAGCCGCGAGGTAATCTCAGAGACGCACCGCCCCTGACTCTACCAGGCACAGATGCACATGGCACACGTGCACCGCCAGGTCTGACCCCAACTGCTCCCCACCTTGCACAGCCTGGCCCCTGGCCTGCAGGTTTCCTATGCACACAGCCACCACCACCCCCAGCCACACTTCCTCTTTACCCCTCCACAGCCCTGGCCCTTGCCCTCAATGACTCCTTGCCCTCCACACAACCACATGGGCTGAGGGCTTCAAAAGTACTAACTGGGAGGTTCTCAGTAGATCTGGCTTCTTGCCACCCGAGGGGCCTGTGGTTCCCTTAAGAGTAACACAGGTCATGCGGCAGGACTCACCTCAGTCTTTCTGGGCTCAGCGTTACCCAGGAAAGTAACTGCACAACTGCATTGCTGACCCTGCCCTAACTGCACTAATCTTTAGGAAATGATGCCTAGGGTTCTCCACAGCAATCTGCTATGAAAGACCAGCTGGGTCCAAAGTGGCAGCTCAGATACGTCCAACAGACCTCAGGCTGCATGGCCTTAACTGAAGGCAGAGTGCCATACCCACCAGCACCATGATGGCACACAATCACCAGGGTGGCAGCCAGGGAGAACCCTATAAAGGAAGAACACAGGGCACCTGGGTTCTTGGAAACTGCCACTCCTTTCCCAAAACCTCTGAACATCCTCCCTCTAAGCTGCACTGCCCTTTGTCCGAGACTCCCAGGCCCAGAGGGTTGGGAGGTTGGTATGTGAACGAGGCTCCTGCTTGTCCGTTCTTCGGCCACTGAACAGTCTGTGCGGTTAGCACTCAACTGGGGTTTTCTCATTGGCTTCATGAACCTGAATGAGCAAAAGATCCTACTCTGGTGGCCTCTCCTCCAGAAAAGGTGGCAGCACTTTACGGTAATAAAGGCACAGTACTCTAGTAGGTGCTGCACGGCTGCCTAAACCACTGGAGACAGACATTGAGTATCACTGCATCGGGGTGAGCCGCAATGAGGTGTGCACTGTGACACACTGGGGGTAGAAGACACGGAGCAATGACCCCACGACCTCAGTGTGGGCCACCAAGGTCAGATGAGAAAATGCCACCCCGGGTGGGGAAGGGCAAGCCTCTATTCCGCTCCTGCTCCAACTGGGGGGCATCTGGAGGAGCCCATTCTCCTTCCCAACTCCTCCAGGAATGCGGACCCTGTGCCCTGCCCGCCTAACTCCAGGACAGGGTGCCTGCCCCTGCCTCACCATAGGCAGTGGCATGGTCGGGGACAGATGGGCTTGTGCGCGTGCTCTCTCGCGCGCGCGCGCGCGCACACACACACACGCAGTACAGGCTGCCAGACTGCAGCACAGTCCCTGCCCAACCTCCCCTGCCTGAGGGCCAGCAACCCGTGTCCTCCCTAGGGCCGCAGGCGGGGGACACCAACTCATTTCTGCAGTTGCACCATGCACATGCTACGCACGCAGAGTGCTGGCCTGGATCCACACAGCCCACCCTGAAGGCCACAGTCAGACCGGGAGCTGGCGTGGAGCCTGGGGAAGGGGACAGGGCAGTCACTCGGCTACCTCGAACAGGGGCACACTGGGCTCAGTAGGGATGCTGCCCCAAGCTTCACAGCCCTAGGCAGGACAAAACCCCAGAGCCCAATCTTGGCCGAGCACCCACCCCACAGAAGTGAACCCGGCGTGGGGAGGTGGTGAAAGGCATTCGGGATTCTGCTCCTTCAGTCCCAAATCTTAGATGCCTGGCCAGAACCCAAAAACCCCAGAACTGTAAGGTAGGGCCAAGAAGCAAGCCATTTTCACATGAGACCAAGGACAGCATCTCCGGAGTGTGCCCAGCCTGGGCTCTTCACTGCCTCCACCCCCGCCCGCCTTCCAAGAAATCCCCCCAGTGGATGTACCCCTTCAGAGGACAGGTATCAGCTCGGGAGGTGCGGGTGTGACCGTCGGAGCCGTGAGGAGTAGCCTCAGAGCAGCACAGCACAGCTCTCTCCGAGGAGAGGAATGAACAGGCCAAGTCCTGCACGGGTCCCGGATGACAACCCTCACTCAAGGGCAGAGCCCAAGGGCACAATGGGAAGACCAGGGCACAGTGGAGTGGGCCAGCTGCGGTCTCATGCAGAGGGGAAACTGAGTCCCAGCAGAGACAGGGTCAGGGAAGAACACAGGGGGAACCAAGGCCTTGCCCGTGAGGGTCATGAGGATGCTGAGCCGGCGGCAGGGAACCTTTCCTTCCACATCCGGGTGCATCTTCTCTCCCTCTTTCCTTCCTCCTGCCCAGGGTCACTCTCCTCCCACCCGCCCGCTATTTCCTCCAATCATCTCAAGCGTGTTTCCTGGCTGTTCTCCCTAGGCAGAAATAGAGAGATGAAAGTCTGGGTGTGGCTGGAGGGAAATGAACTGAATTCCAGTTTACAACTCCAGGAAACTGCTGTCCTTTTCCAAAGCACAGTCCTGGGCCAAGATGATCCCGGAACATGGGGAACTCCACCCAAAGCCCGGTGCTGGCCGGTGTGGCCCCGCCAGGGTGGGACAGGCCTGTGCAGGCGGGCCTGGGGAAGAGGGAGCGTTCAGGAGGCCAGGAAATCCGTGGGCGGCAGATCCCGTCCTAACGCACCCTACTTGGAGGCTGAGAAAGTAAGTTTTCCCGAGTCCCGAAGAGCAAGGTGGTCTGAGAAGACTGCGGAGAAGACCACGCGGCGCCAGGCGGTCCCCCAAGGGTGAAAGGGCGCGCGCGCCCCTGCCTTCCGGACCCTCCCCACGCCACGTCCGCCGCCACCACCCCCGGGGGCCGGAGCACGCGGGGCGCGTGGGGCGCGCGTGACGCGGCTCACTCACCGTCCCCCAGGGCCCGGCCCAGGGCGGCACCCGCCAGCCCAGCCAGCGGGCGCCGCAGCATCCAGGGCGCCGCACCCGCCCACGCGAGCTTTCCCCCCGCCCCGCCGGAAGGGGCCTCCGAGCCACTCTAGGGCCTGCGCGTCCGTTGCGTCACATCGCCGCGCCAGCCTATTTCCGCTTACGTCACAGCGCTGTGCCGGCCGCCTCCGCCCGTCGTAGTGCGGGTCGTTCCGTTGCTGCCAGCAGCGACACAGGTCCTGAGGGCCCAGCTCTTCAGGTGCAAAGCTTTTTTTCGGAAACAGCGAGGGGCTGCCATGCGGGACACGCCTGCATGGACCGCTAGGGGCGCGTCCGAGGGGTGAGAGTAGGGAGACGCTTTCAAAGGCAGTAAAGGGAGACCCAGGTCAGACGGAGACAGTGCAGCACGTTAGTTTCAGCGGGCCAGCTGGGTGGCACACGCCTGTCACCCCAGCGAGGCAGGAGGGTCGCAAGCGGGAGGTCGGCCTAGACACCTTAGCTCCGGAGACCTGTCTCAAAGTAAAATTCTTGTGAACGGTTGGGAATTCAATTCACTGGTAGAGCATTTCCGTGGCATCACAAGGCCCTGGCTTCAATCCACCTTATGGGCGGGGGGGGGGGGGGGGGAAGGGGGGGGGGGGGGGGGAGCAATAGTAGATGTGAGGGAGGAGAACGGTGGAAGAGAAAAGAGAGGGCCCGCCTTTAACCCAAGCTGAGACTGGTCTTCAGGGGTCCTGAGGGCTCAAAACCTCCACTATACGTGAGGAGCGGAGTCAAACCTCTCTGATCGGGAATCAAACCTCAAACCAACCCCCAGCCCTAATGCTTAAAACTTCAACACCAAGACTCATCCCCCATCCCTGAGCACTTCTCACTCACTGGCTTGCTACCATCCTCTGGCATGTACTTTGGCTTTGATTTGATAAATCTTTGATTTTGCTATTTCTGTGAGTCCTCTGGACATCAAGAACCTGAACATAGGGCTGGGGATTTAGCTCAGTGGTTTCGCCTCCTGCCTTGCAAACGCAAGGTCCTGAGTTCAATCCCCGGTACCAAAAAAAAAAAGAAAAGAAAAAAAAAAAAAGAATCTGGACAAGACCCCCATCCGGTAACAGATAGATTGGGCCTTGCGGTTCATGAATTGAGCAGCCTCCATCCTACAGTGCGGAAGGATAGCCCCGCAGCATGCAGTAGCAGAACAGTGGGATTTGTAAGGTAGAGACCAAGGCAACAGATTATAGGGAAATAATGCCCGAACAGATTAAGATCAGGTTGGTTTTTTCCAAGGGCTACTAAAAGAAAAGTGTGATCTCCTATTTTGAGCAACCTGCAGAAGAGACTGAAGTTAGAAGTACAGTGTTATCCTTCTGAATGAAAAGGGCAGATAGGAGCAAGGACACATTAAGAGGCATAATAATCTAGCTTTGTTCCTAGGCCCTGAGAAGTCCCATTGAATGTGAGGTCATCAGCTTTGCAGCCTCATGTAGTTTTGTTGTTGTTGTTTGTTTTATTTTATTTTATTTTTTTGAGACAGGGTCTCACCATGTAGCCCAGTCTGGTCTCAAACTCGAGGGAGTCCTCCTGCCTCAGCCTGTCATGTGCTGGGATTGCAGGCGCATACCACCATACCCAGCTTCTGGTGTGCAATCTATCCCTGCTTAGGGCATCAAGTGGTTTGATGAGCTGTGTTTGGCCTACACTTTAAATATGACACTTGTCCCTGTAACTTACATTGAGTTGCCTAGTTCCACCTTATAGGGCTTCAGGAAAGCAGTTCTTGTTCTTAGTTGGAGAGTTCTTGACCACATCTTGGAAGAAATTAGAATTCAGGACCCAGTCCGATCTACAGGTAGGTAATAAAAACTAAACAATATACAGGTCTACACTGTAATAACAGGTATGTCATCAGATGGGGTCCAAGGAAGATACAGGGAACCCTCACTCCACCCAACCTTACCCCCCTCATGGAGTAGGTTCATTGACTCTTGTTACAGAAAAGGAATTTCAGGACATGTCAATGAGAGGTATAGGCAGATTTGTTAGCCAGAGTTGAAGAAGTACAATTCAGAGAGAAAATAGTGCAAATGTGCCAGAGAGAACTGCACTATGGTGTGGGTTTGGGGAATATATATGTATGATCTTGGAGGTATCCATCAAGATGAATGATGTAAGATTTGGGGGGAGGCAGTATGGGGGATTGAGCTCATGACTTTGTGCTTGCCAGGCAAGTGCAGCACCACTGAGTTAAATCCCTGGTGATGGAAGATGTTTTACCTAAAAGCATTATTTGAGGGCTGGGGATTTAGCTCAGTGGTTTCACCACCTGCTGTGCAAGCGCAAGGACCCAAATTCAATCCCTGGTACCAAAAAAACAAACAAACATTATTTGAACTCCATAAACCTGTTTCCTCATCTTTTTTTTTTTTTTTTGGTACCAGGGATCAAACTCAGGACCTTAACGCTTGTGAGGCAGGCAGCAGAACCACTGAGCTAAATCCCCAGCCCTGTCATCTTTTTTTTTTTCAAGTGGAAAAGAATTTATAACTTTTGCCATATCTGATTCCTCATCTTAAGGTCAAGTTGCTCCCCTATACCTTATGGACTAGGTTAATTTATAGACTTACATCTTTAAGAGATTTGAGCCTGTCATCTGACAGGGTCCTAGGAAGTTTCCAAAGGGGGATGAATAAGTTAAACCCACCGTACCTATGGAATTAAGTTGCAGGTTCACTGACTCCTGGCATGGAAAAAATTTTTAGGACATGCCAAGAAGCAGAAAAGGATTTATTAGGCAGAGATTTACACTTGATCTTAGCCAAAAGGCCGAGAAGTGATAAGACAGAAATTTAAAAGTACACATTCAAAGAAATAGAGCATTGGTCCTCAAGGAGAGGCACATAATGAGCTGGAACTGGGTACTTTTATGGGGTTTTGGGGGCATCTTCAAGATGGGTGATCCCTGCACTGGTAGGGAGGGAACCTTGCCATCTGCAGGCATGTTGGCAGTGTACCCAGCAAGGTGGCTGAGGGCTGCTCTTTACCTCTGAAGGTGTGGGACTCTGAGCCTGCAGGCACTCCCAGCATCCTCCCCAGTGCGTGCCCTGGCAGAGGGAGGCCCCAGACATCTCGCTGAGCACCCAAGCCAGATCTGGAGTCATTGTGTCTTGAGGAAAAATGGGCAGGACTACGATAATTTCAGCCAGAGTCCTGAGGAGCACATTTAAGCAGAGACCCCACCAGAGGAGGTGGTCACCAGAAAGGTGCTGGTGAGGTAGGAATTCAGAAGCATGTCCAGGGTGTGGGGCACAGAAACATTAAACAGGTTGAAGCACAAGCTCTGGGAGGATTTGACTGACAGGAAGGAGGAAGTACAGGCAACCCCTGGACTAGGGGATGCCCATAGGCACCTGGATCCACGTTGAGAGTTAGATTCCAAGTGCCCCTCTTTCCTTTTCTGATACAAAGGGAAGACAAGGAATCAATAGTTATGGTATACTAAGCTGAGGGACTTAATAGTTGCTTTTTCAGCTTATCAAAAGCTGCATTGGGGCCGAGGATTTAGCTCAGTGGTTTCACTGCCTACTGTGCAACCGCAAGGACCCGAGTTCAATCCCAGGTACCAAAAAAAAACAAACTGCATCTTCAGCATCCTCTAATGGTTTGGTCAGACTGGTGGTGCTTTGTGGGAGGGTGGGCCAGCAGGGAATGCTGCAGCTCCAGGCACAGCAATAACCAGCCCAAGAATCGCGCAGAGCTGGAGTTTAGTTTAGGATTCAGGAACTGTAAGACGTCTTGGATCTGGTCTAACTATGGTCCATTTTCTGAAATAAGTTGGTCCACATATCTCACTTTTTTTTTTCCTTTTCAAAGCTGGAAATTGAACCTAGAGCCTTTGCACTTAGCTGTATCTCCAGCCCTTTTAATTATTTTTAATTTTGAAGAAAGAGTCTTACTAAGTCACTGAATTGCACAGGCTGGGCTCGTAAACTCAATCTTCCTGCTTCAGCCTCCCAGAGTGCTGGGATTACAGCTGTGTACCACCACACCTGGCTCTAAATATCTAACTCTTCATAAGCTGTAATTTTCCTGGAGAAATTTTTTATCCTGAATACAGAAAAAAAGGGAACTGTTATACCTAGTAGGTGTGAATGTAAACTGATTTAACCTTGATGGAAAACAGCATGAAATTTCTGAGAAAATGAGCTTGAGTTTGAACGATCCCCAACATACCACCAAGCTCCAAATAGCCCTTATAAAACCAAGCCCAGGGCCAGGGATTTAGCTCTGGTTCTGCCGCCTGCCTCGCAAATGCAAGGTCCCAAGTTCGATCCCCGGTACCCCCCCCAAAAAAAAAGACAGGAATCTGATTTCTACCTACTTGTAACCTTCAGCAAATCATTTCGGGCCAAGGATTTAGCTCAGTGGTTCTGCTGCCTGCCTCACAAGCCCAAGGACCTGAGTTTGATCCCTGGTACAAAAAAACCCACCAAGCCCAGGGGCTGGGGTTGTGGCTCCATGGTAGGGTGCTCACCTAGCATGTACAGGTCCTGGGTTCATCCCTAGCACTGCGAAGTAAAGTATGTGACTAAGAGTCACAGTGTGTAAACACAGCCACTTGGGGTCCTGAGGAGGAGCGTTCAGCACACCTCGGAATTTGGGGAGTCCCGTTGATTGCTTTTGTCTCTTGAGAGCAAAAGCAAACAAGGGTGGTCCAACATGTTCTGCTTTATGAAATACTTTTCCAAGGAGTTGGTTTTGCCTGGCGGTGGCCTTTCCCTTCATTGTCCTACCGTGAACAAGAGGTAGGATCATTTTCTTGAGACTGGCAGTGGCCACTTAATCTCCCTGGAGCTGCGACTTGGAGCCAGAGTTGCTCATAATGTGGGGAGTGCCTGGTGCCTCCTTATGAGCATGACCTGTGTCACTGCCCATGCTATTATAACAGGATTAATGAGACAGGAGTTAGGATTCTATTAGGCAGTAAGGACAGTGGCCCTAAAATGGGTTTGGGAAGCCCAAAATAGAGTCCACTGAGTCACAACCCTCCAGAGATCTTACAAAAACATCTGCCAGGTGTCCTTTGGCTG